CACACACACACACACACACACACACACACACACACACACACACAAACAAAGACACACGCACAGAGGACTCTGACACTGACCCTTAAACACAAGCTTTCCTGGAAAGTGGATTCTCTTTCACATTGAAATGATGTCATCAAACAGGAAACAAATAGAGAGTGAAAACAAAACCTTATATTAATATGATGCCCCTTTAGATTATTAATTAAAGTGATGACCCCTCACATTATTAATTAAAGTGATGACCCCTCACATTATTATGTTACCCCTAAAAATAAAATGATGACCCCTCAGATAATTTTAAATCAAATTTGTGAAGAATTAAAGACTAAATGTCACCAGAAGGCTGTATTTTGCCCTTTCTTACACACTTGAAACTCAAATACACTCTGTCTCCCACGAGGAGGACGAGGAAGGGGAGGATGAGGGGGAGGAGGAGGATGAGGGGGAGGAGGAGTCAGTCCCTTGGGATAAAACTCTCCACACAGAGAAAGAGAGACAGTCAGTGTGAACACAGACGGAAGAACAAGAACACATCAACTACAGAACCAACAGAAGCTCCTCCTTCAGTCTGCCGATCTGTGAGTTTCATCATTCACACATTCAGAGTTTAAGTGTTACTGAAACCAGACAGACAGACAGACAGAGAGACAGAGAGACAGAGAGACAGACAGACAGAGAGACAGAGAGAGAGAGAGACAGACAGACGGACGGACGGACAGACAGACAGAGAGACAGAGAGACAGACGGACAGACAGACAGACAGACAGAGAGACAGACAGAGAGACAGAGAGACAGAGAGACAGACAGAGAGACAGACAGAGAGACAGACAGACAGACAGACAGACAGACAGACAGACAGAGAGACAGACAGACAGACAGACAGACAGACAGAGAGACAGACAGACGGACGGACGGACAGACAGACAGACAGAAACAATTAGCCTCTCATCATGGACAGGTGAGTACAGAGCTCAGTTTATATCATGTAAGATGTTTAAACTCTGTTTTGGATGACCTGGTTGTATCTGTACATTCTGGATATATGATCCTCATTTCCCGGTAATAATTACAGCCGTACAATGACCTCCTGTGTTTCTGTAGAAACCGGCTTGTATCTCGTCTCTCTGCTGCATTTTATCAGCTCAGTGAGGAATTTGACTTTTTATTGCATAGAATCTGAGAGATGCTAACATGCTAACACCAATTTGGGGGCGACAGAAAGAATAGGCCACAGGTTATATTATTATTTCTTTGTTAACTGAATAGGTATGGCTGCTTGTTTTCTACTGTTATTATGGAATGGTATTTTATTTGTAAGTTTAAATGCTGTATATGTTAAATGTATACGTTGGGTTATTGTGTGTGTGTGTGTTGTCAACACATTGTTAATGTTTGACTTAAAGGTGCTGTCGATAACACTGACAACATTCAGCCACTAGATGTTCGTCCTCCACAGTTCGATTTCATTCGATTTCATTCGTGACGTCACTTATTGGTTTGTGGACTGACGTTTTGAAGCCACAAGTTCGGCGATTTGGCCGTCGCCATCTTGGATTACGACCGCCCCCATATTGTATTTTTTGCTACCTATAAACGGAAGTTACCATATTTGGAATGCGGAGGAGTTACATAGATAGTCTCAGCGACCTGTCAATCACAGTAAGCTCCGCCCTAAAGCATACCCTGCTTTATGGTCGATTTGACCATTCATAAAGTTACTAAGTTGGATTGCTCTTTCTATTATATATATATATATATATATATATACTGTATATATCTCTCCATTGAAACCCTTAGCAGTTTAGAGTATGAGGTCAGAGGTCAGGCTGTGTGAGTCTTTGAACTGAAGCTTTTTAATTAAAGGTTAGCTGTTAGCAGTTAGCGGTTGGCCAGATGTCCGGATGTGGATGATGCAGTAGCTGGATGGTGATTGGCTGTCGGCACTGAGCTGTAATTAAACACACAGATTACAGACTGAGTGTGTGTGTGTGTGGTCCTGTATGTATATATTTGTGAGGACTTTCTGTTCTTCAAAGGCTGTTTGAAGCTTAAGACCAGATAATTAATGTGTGTGTGTGTGTCTTCCCTTTTCAGACTGTAATATTTCCATCTTCTTCTTTGTGTCATTCAAACAGACTTTTACATTAATGTTCCTCAGAGCTTCGTTCAGACATTCACATCACATTAATCAAAATGTTGTGAAGGAAGATGTGGATTTTAAAAACATACTTTACAGTTGAAGCTTTAATTCATGACGTTTGCCTTGAATCCATTTAAACAATGTCACATTAGTTTAATCATTTAGCCTCTTCCTGTTATATAAACATCCAACACATTAATGACAGGACGTAAAGTTGTCCGGCATCACATCAACATCTCAACCAGTGAACCAAAGTGACCAAATTTGAACTGTGACGGAGTGACGTAGAGAAACCGTACACGTCTCAGCAACAAATGCACCGAATTTTTGATGTTGTTCTAAGAGCTCCTTATCTTCTTCCTGAAAATATTAAAATGAATGAACAAATACAAAATCACTATTCACTACAATCACTATTAAAATCACAGTGAGAGATTTACAGATGAGTTTAAATAGAAAGTAAACAGAGTTCTCTTCCTGTTTGACTGTTTTTACTTCATCAGTTCAGTTGAGAGGGAGGCTGCTGGGAGAAAAGAGAAGAGAAGAGGGGGGGGTGTTGTGAAACAGAGGTAACTCCAGTTCAAGTTGAGCAGTGTTTATATGGACAACACAGTCTCAGAATGTGTTCAGCTGTGAGTTATAGAGCAACAGGAGAGACAAACCCCTCAGATCTGTCTGCTCATCGTGACCTCTGACCTCATTTCACTGTTGCAGCTTATTCTGTACAGTGGAGGACAGTTTGTCCGTAGACATTTTGTTCGTGGATAGTTTGTCTGTGGACAGTTGGACCTAGAACCTAGAACCAGAACCTCTGCTCCAGCCTGACAACACAACCACAACTGCCGAATCCATTCTGTAATCCATGAGTTTAATGTTCTTCGTCTGTGTTTCAGGTTGAGATGTTCCAGCTCCGGATGACTTCCTGTCTGTTGTCCCTCCTCTTCCCTTTGATGTTCTCCATCATGGCCGCTGCTCAACCCGCCGGCTGCAAAATCCGAATCACTGACAAAGGACTCGATATGTGTAAGTTAATGATTATTATCCAGAAGTAAACTAAAATCTAAACTATAATACTGTGGACCGTATTCAACATCTGTACTATATTTAACATTTGCACACATTGTCGTATGCTTTTTGTTTATATTTTCTTGTTGTTTTGTATTTTTTATACATATCATATTTGTACTTAGAGCACAGTCCTGGAAGGGGCAACGATTGTAGGAATATGTTGAGTATGTGACAAATAAAACCTTGAAATTGAAAATGTATAACCGATATTTATTTGTGTTTTCAGTGAAGTATGAGACTCAGAAGTTTGTTGAAGAAGAGCTCACTAACATCTCGATGCCAGAGATGAAGGGCAAAGAAGGACGCTTCCAATACACCATCACTAAGTACAAGTTGTATTTAAAGTAATACTTTGATTCTGAATACTCAACATGTATTAATGTCTTCTCTTTCTCCCGTCTGTCGTCAGCGTGAAGATAACCGAGTTGAATCTGACTCACGCTGAACTGCAGTTCATCCCTGAAGTCGGTTTGCTGTTTGACGTCCAGAACTCATCGATCTCGCTGAGTTTCCACCGACGGATCCTCTACTGGTTCTTGTGAGTTCTGCTGCAGAAAACTGACTCAACATCAACATTCCTACGACTCTAATGGTTCTCAAACAGAACACTGATTAGAGTCTGATAACCCGTCTACAGAAGACTTTTAGAACTTCATTAGTTCATCCACAGAACATAAATATAATACACTACTGTTACTGTTAGTACTACTCTAATGGTTCTTATACAGAACTTCAATACAACTCTAATAGTTATGTGTTCTATGGAACATTAAAGTGTCAATAGACAATTAAAAAAAAAAACTTTACAGGCATTATATGCAAATTGTTTTTGGACACCACCAAGTATTTGTCCGACTAATGTGACAGTAAATTGGAACAGTTAATACCTCGAATGACGATGTCATAGGTCACGTGAAAATACGCCATTTTTCACCACTTTTCATGAATCTTTTAAAAAACGCAACAGAGGATTCAATGGAAGCATCTCAACATGTTGCTCAGCAGAATCTCGAGACCTTCACGATGGCAAATTTGGAAGCTTTTGTGTTTTGTGTGGAGCGTTGTCGTGTAGTTGCTTACGCGGTCGTATTGTGTCGGTGATGACGTGTTTCTGTGTGTCAGCTACGACACAGGAAACATCAACGCGTCGGCCGACGGCGTGAACATCAACACAGCTGTGAACCTGATCCGGGACGAGGAAGGACGACTGAAGATCAATAACATCACCTGTGATGCCAGGATCTCCAAAATGAGGGCAAAGTTCAGCGGAACGCTCGGGTAAAACACACTGATACAGTAATAATGATTAATGATAATAAGACTAATGTAGTGATCAATGATCAATAATGATCACTGTTAATGGGAGTAATGTTGTAATCAATAATGATTAATGGTTACTGTTATTAATAATCGGCCAATCAACAACTGTCTGTCGACACGTTTTATCTTTCAGGAAAGTTTACGACTTCCTGGCCAGCTTTCTGACAACGGGCATGCGCTTCCTCCTCAACCAACAGGTGTGTCACCTGTCCGTCTGTCTCTGACCTGTCTCTCTCTCTCTCTGTTCTGTCTCTCTCTCTGGTCTGTATCTCTTGCTCTGACATACATGTCTGTCTCTGAAAGTATTGCTCACTGACCTGTCTGTCTATCTTTGACATTTCGGTATGTCTCTGAGCTGACTGTACCATACCTGTTTCTCTCTTACCTGTCTGTCTGTATATCTGTCTCTGACCTGTCTCTCTCTCTGACCTGCCTCTCTCTCTGACCTGTCTGTCCCTCAGATCTGTCCCGCTCTGAATCACGCTGCTCTGGTTCACGTGAACTCGATGTTGCAGTCGATCCCTGTGAGGTCGGAGGTCGATTACTATATTGGTATTGATTATTCTCTGATCGAAGATCCCGTGGTGACGTCCAGGAGCCTCGACATGCACTTCAGGGTCAGACTCTTCCTCTGATATGATATCGTCTATGATGTAATACGACGGGAACATTAACGTGTGTGTCGTGTGTTTAGGGGATGTTCTTTGATCTGTCCGATCCAAATAACACGTTGGTGAACTACGCCATCGACCCGGTCATCAGAGAGTACGACCGGATGGTTTACCTCGCTCTGTCCGAGTACTTCTTCGACAGCGGGATGTATTCTTACTTCAAAGCAGGAATCTTCCAGATGCACATCGTCAACGAGAAGGTTAAACCCACCACAGACCCACAAAACCACCACAGACCCACAAAACCACCACAGACCCACAAAACCACCACAGACCCACAAAACCACCACAGACGCCCACCCTGAAAGACCGAAAAGCCGAACATACAAATCCTGAGAACCGAGCTGATCCAGTCTAACCTCCATTGTTCTCTTTGTGTCGTCCTTCAGATGCCCAAAGACCTGCAGATGCTGTTGAGAACCACCTACTTTGGAGCCATCATGATGCTGGTGAGTAAAGTTACAATAGAGACACAGTGGGGACACAGTGGAGACACTGTAGGAATGCAGTAAATACACTATAAAGACACAATAGAGACATGGTAGAGATACAGTGGGGAGACATTGGAAAATGCAGTCGAGACACAATAGAGACACAGTAAAGACAAAAATAGAGATAAAGTACAGAAATAGTAAAGTCTAATTAAAGACAGAGTAAGGACACAGTGGAGAAACATAAGAAATGCAGTAGAGACACAGTAAAGTCTCAGTAAAGAGACAGTGGAGACGCAGTAGAAATGCACACAGTAAATAAACAGTAGAAACACAGTAAATACTCAATAAAGAATCAATAAAGAGACAGAAGAGATGCAGTAGAAACACAATAAAGAGACAATGGAGACACTGTAGCGACACAATGGGGACACATTTGAAATGCAGTAAAGACACAGTGAAGACAGAAAAAAGAGACAGTGGAGACACAGTAGAAACACAGTAAATAAACAGTAGAAATACAGTAAAGACACAGTAGAGTGTTAGCAGGATGGAGGAATGTAAAACCACTTGATGCTAATTTGTCATTTGTTACGTTGGCCTTTATGAATAAAGTTGACTTGACAGGTTCAGTTCAGTGCAGGTGTTCACATTATTTAGTCCACATGCAGTACTGTGTAGTACTGCTTCACTCCATGTTCTCCTGTGTTCTCGTAGAACCCGGCTCTGGTGGACGCTCCGATGTCTCTTCAATTCGCCGTCAACTCTCCTCCAAAAACCTTCATCAAGACGTCCGGAGCAACGGTCGTCATGACAGCCATCGTCAAGGTGATAGTGCTGCCTCCAGGTCAGCCTCCGGTCCAGCTCAGCAGCATGACGATGGTACACAAACACACACACACCTCTACACACACACACATACACACACACACACACACACACACACACAGTTTTAACCTGCTGATCCAAACGTCCAACAGCTGTTTTATTATTTCTATTGTTTCATGTTTCTGTCGTCCTGCAGGAAGCAAAGTTTAACGCTAAAGTTTCCATGAAGGAAAAACGCCTGGCCGTTCATGCTGACCTCCGCAGGTACACAAGCACGCACGCGCACACACACACACACACACACACACACACACACACACACACACACACACAAGTTACAAGAACTGTGATTGGTCAGTTCGGGGACAGGAGCCCAGGACCAATTTAAGGAACACAGGAACACAGTCTGTGTTTCTTTTGGTGGAACCATGGACTAAGGTTCCACATTGACGCCACAAACATGGCGAGAACCATATGAAGGAACAGTCCTTTAAAGTTTTGTAAAGTTCTAAGTTTTCTACTTGTGACACTTGAGGGGCCGATCACACCGAGACGCGTCGCTACAATATTCTCAACTTTTAAGCGCAGAGTCAGTGTCACACTTGACCGAGGCAGCCAATCAGATCGCACTACTGACATCAAAACAGGAAGTCAGTTGCAGTGGAGTAAAGCCCGCCTCTTGCTTGATTTGATTGGCTCCCTTGTTCAAATGTGTCACTGACGATCGCTGCGCTGCAAGAAAAGTTGCGAATATTTCAACTTTTATACACGTCTAAAAAAACGCCCGAAAAACGCGGCGCAAGAGAAAAGCACAGTGGTCCCTCGGGTTAATTTCTCCTGAGCTGAGGGAGCGACTAAAGGTTGCTGTACAGAATCCCTCAAAATGTTTCCTGGGTTCATGAAGAACGTTGAAATGTTTTACCTTTTGTGTTGAACCTCATTTAAAGTCACAGCGTCTCTGTGGCAGAATAAATGACCACAGACTGAAACAGAGTTGTCTTCTTTCAGATTTAAAATATTCTCCAATCAATCGGCTCTGGAATCTCTGGCAGTAAGTGCTGTTGTTTTTATCTTTTACTACTGAGTTACAACATTTGTGTTAAATCTGATTCACAACAGAAAGTAAAATACGTAACAGTCGCCCGTCTGTCAGTTGATTCCTCTGCAGGCTCCTCTGAAGACCATGTTGCAGATGTCTGTGGTTCCTTTAATCAACAGTAAGAATCTGATACATCAACTGTGAAACAAACAGTGATTGCATGTTGAACTGTAACACACTGTGACACTGACTGTGTGTGTGTGTGTGTGTGTGTGTGTGCTCAGACTGGACAAAGAGAGGGGTTCGCATCCCTCTGGCTGATGGGATGGATTTCATTGAGGAAGTAGTTGAATATCACAACGTAAGTCTGTTTAAACATTTAACCTTTATATGTTAAACCCCAAAAGTGAAGACATCTTGATCGCCCCCTGGTGGCTGGCTGCAGTAAAGGTCATAAACGCTGCGCCTTCCATGTTAACAAATGGGACCATGGGTTTTGAAAGCCTCCAGTTCACCATTTTGGCAGTCCCCATGTTGGTTTTTGCAACCAGTGAACAGAAGAGACCATATTTGGACTGCGGAGGAGCATGGCTCTGGCAGCTACCAGGCCGCAACCTCTGGTTCTCTAAATGGACCATAATGTACTAAATGAACATCATGCTGTATTGAAGAAGACTTGAAACTAGAGATTGAGACCATAAACTCATGTTTACAATGTTTACTGAGGTAATAAATCAAGAGAGAAGTAGAGTCATTTTCTCATAGACTTCTATACAATCAGAGGAGTCGCCCCCTTGTGGACACTAGAGAGAATGCAAGTTTAAGACACTTCGGTATTAGCCTCACTCATCAGAACCGGAGGTTGCCGTCTGGATGAGGCATGGGACAAACTAAAACGTAAAAGTCAAATAAATGTTTCCCAAAGATGGTTTCTGCTATTTTAGGCAGTTATTATCACGCTGATGAATGTTAATTTTTTTGATTAGTTTGATCTTAATGAGATATTTGTTGGGTGTAACATCATGATTGTACCATGTGATGTTCTGGTCATTATGCTGCAATCCATTGTACTCTGAAAAAAACAACCATACAGCCATACAAACATCAGATGGCTGGCAGCCATGTTTTCACGAGCAGATGCACCGGGACGCATTAAGATTATAAATCGGGGAATACCGACTTGGAATTATCAACCTTCGACTTGCAATGGATTGCAGCATCAGTCTTTATTATTTTGACCCTCTACTGCACCATGTGATGTTGTATTTCCTCACTGGTGTTGACGGCAGTTGTGTTGATCTCTGCAGGGTTTCATCTTGATCGGAGCGAATCTTCACTTCAGCAAAGGACTGAGAGAAATGATCACAGGGAGCAATCAGACAGAACCAGACACCAACTCTGTCTAAATATATATATATACATATATACACACACGATGTGAATATATAATACTTACAACATACAGTATAACAATATGTGAATATATACGAGAATATATACACACATATATATATCCACACACACATTTATGTGTATAAATATACGCAGGTATTTTAAAATCAAGCGGCCATTGTTTACATCCATGTTTCTTGCCAACAGTCTTCCTCTGCTCCTTGCGCATTGCTGCGTTATCTTTAAGCACCTGTACATCAGTGAAACAGAAGTATTCAGATCCTTTTCTGAAGTAAAAGTACTAATACCACATTGTGAAAATACTCCACTACACGTTAAAGTTCCACATTCAAAACCGTACTAGTAAAAGTATTGTCAGCAAAATGTACTAAAAGTATTCATGATGTGGTAACATGTTACCTGTCTGTGTTTTTCTATTATATATATATATATATATATATGATGTTTCGGGATTAATAGTACTGCTGCATTAATGTATGTGTGTACTGCTGTAGATGTTTTTAACTCCTTTATACACTGTTGGGTAGTTTAATCTGCAGCAATGCATCATATTCTAGAAGATAATATGTTTGTGTAGTTGTCCTGTGAGTAAAGGTTCCATTTAGAAAGTGATGAGGACATAAAGGTCTGAGAGTCCTCTCCGAATAAAGTTCAGACTAACAGACTCCAGAGTATTTTCTCAAACACAATAAAAGGTGAGAAAGTATCAGTACAACCATATTGTGGTTCTCTGAGATAACAGCTCACAGTGGAAATGCCGCTCTCTGATGTTTGTATTAACAACAAAGCTAAATAAAAGCAAATAAATCTCCTAATTTGCTTTTTCATACAAGTTATAAGTTAATTACTAAATGAACATCCTGCTGTATTGAAGAAGACTTGAAACTAGAGATTGAGACCATAAACTC